AATTAATTTTTAAATATAAATATTAATATTTATTAAAATAAATTTTTAAACTTTAAATTAAATTTTAATTAAATGAAATAACAGAATTTAATATCAAAACTCTAAAATTTTTTTAAGAATTGGTGTTGATATGCATTTTTTCCTAATCTCATAATATTTTTTTTCACTAACTTTTTTTGTGGTCTATCCTATAAACACGAATATCTAAATGAAAAAAACTTATACATTTCCATTAACTCTTCATATTACTCTTCATATTATATAGTACACGAGAAACTAATTATTTGAACATAAAAAACTAAAAATAAAAATCTCAACAAAACTCCACTCAGCCTATTCCTCCGTTTATTTTAACGGAGATATCTAAACAAATAAATAACAATAATCCATAATTAACAACTAAACAAACATTATTATTAGTAGAAAAATTAAGCCGGTCAGGTAGTGTCTGCCGTTCCAAAATCTGCCGAAGAATCAGCGACCAAAACCACCGTGATTCTCACCCCGTTTCTTCCCTCTCAGAGAGCCACCAGTGGGTCTGAGAAGAACAAATCGTCGATGTCTTGGAAATGATCGTCCACTTGACACATAGACGATGACGAGCACAAAGAGCTGAACTCTTGCGGCAGATTGGGTAACACGTCACTGAATTCTTCACTCAGTACGCTACTTTCCGGCCAAATCTCCGATGAATCATCGAACGGAGAGAATCCCGGAATCGGGATGTTGAAAACCTCGTCGAGGAATGGTAAATCCATCGGCAAATAATCGCCGCAGTCATCTGGTAAACTCGTTTGTTCTCCTTGACAGTCTTGGGAGAACATAGGAACCGGTTTGCTCTCTTCCTCATGTTCCTTTGACGGTTTTTCTGGTTCGGCTGTTTCCTCACTGGAATTTGTTCTGAAGTTGAGAACCGAAGTCGGAGAAGAAAGATTGTGGGACTCATCGCCGGAGTCGTAGCCGGAAACAGAAGCCATATTAATCCGTGGCTTTTCGTCTACGGTTTCTCTAGCCGGAGGGGTGGCGAAGTTGGTTAAAGCATCGGGCCCACGGAGCTTGATGGCGGCATTATCGTACACAATAGCAGCTTCCTCCGCCGTGTCGTAAGTACCCAACCACAGCCGCACACGGCGAGCGGGATCTCGAATTTCCGCCGCCCATTTTCCCCACGGCCGCTGCCGTACCCCTCTGAACTTCTTCCCTTTCGTCTGCAAAGAAAGCTTGACTGGCCTGCCAATATCAGAAACATCCGCGACCGCTGTCGCCGTTCTCTTCTTATTGACAGAAACACCAATCCCGCTCTTGGAACTGTCCTCGATATTGATTTCACTCACATAACGCTTCACCCGCTGCCGGAAATAGAACTCCCCCTCTTCATCACTGGAGGAGTCCGTCGCATCTGGGTCCGTCACGGATATCCGTACGACTCTCGGCCCATCCAGGGAGTGACTCCGTTCATCGGAAACTCTCTTGTTTTTCACCACCGGTCTCGTGAACTTCTTAGTAACATTCCTGTGCTCTGTGTATTTGATCGGACATAGGATACTCTGGTCCATTCTGGGTGCTTACGATTTTCTTGTTTTCTTTTTCTCCAACACTCAGATTCTATATCTTGGCATCGAATTCGATCCAAGACAGAAGAATAAAGTGAGATATCAAAAGAGAAAGAACCTTCAAATGGAAGCTGAAACCTTAGAGATAACAAGGAACAAATCGATTCAGAAATCTTTCTTAAAAGATATCATCAAAAGGTGAGAATGATATAGAAAAAAAATTAAACACCGATGAAGAAAGAAACTAAGAAGAAGGGAGAACCTAAGGAGAAGGGAGAACTGAACCTTACGAAAAGATTTGGTATAAAGCACGGCCTTAAAAAGGAGAGACTGAATGAGGAAAAAGGAAAAGTAAACACTGTTTCCCTACAGTTCTCTGTAACTTTCCCATGAAAACGCTGTTCGGGGGAGAAAATTAGAAAGATTTCCTGATGGAAAGAAAGAATAGTTGGAACCGTACGAGTGGAAGTGAGAAAAATCTGAGTGGCAAGAGTGTTTGGTTTCACAGTGGAACACAAAGCACCGAATCCGCTGTTTTATAGGATCCAAAGATCCGAACTAGGAAAAAATCAGAACAAAACACCTGTTAGCGATTTTTTTACTAATATTGAATATACAATTAACAGAAAAATCAAAATAAATCACAATGAATACTAATTGAATTTAATTAGTTGTCTTAATTTAATTTTTATATAAAATTTAAATTAATAATTTGATATTAGTGGTATCAATCTCAACTTTAAAAATAAATTAAGTTCTAAACTTATATTTAAAATTAAAATCTTAATTTAAAAGTCAAAACTATAATCAATTTTTAAATTTATATATAACTATTTAATAAAATAAATTTTTAAATTTTAAATTAAATTTTAATTACATAAAATGATATAATTTAAAATTAAAATTAAATTTTTTTTAAAATCTAGATTGATATGTATTTTTTTAATAATTTTATATAGTAAAAAAATAATTAAAATTTTTTATCTAAGTAAAAATAAAAAATTTTATTATAATTTAACTTTCAATTATATAAAAAACTTTTTTAATTATAATTATTTATTATATAAAATTATTTAATTAAATTTTACTTAAAAAACTAAAACATTTAAATTCAATTAAAGAAAAAATATATTTTTTTGTTTTCATAATTTTTTTTTTTCTAAATAAGGGCATGATGAGATTGAGCGTTAGTCCACACAGCAGATTCCGGTGACATATACTGCGTTCCGCCGCATCCTGACGATCCATTATGATGCGCACACGTGGCGATATGACCAAAGTTAAGGGTTGGGATGAAACGGAGATTCTCAAATGATGCTGAGTCAGCGCGTGACGCACTCTCGAAATACGTGACCCCAACCACGTGAGGCCCAAGATACCCGCTCCTTCAAAAAAAAAAAAAAGGATTTTTAGTCGGTCAAATGATTTTGATTAACAATACATTACCCCTTTGACCGCTTAAAAAGCCTTCGTCCCCCATAATTACTATTAATTACACCTTAATTGATCCAATTAAGGAAAAACCTTCAGGGTACCATTGTCATTTCGAAAAGGTTAATAATATTATACTTTCAACAATATACTTATAATATAATCAATAACATATCATAAAATAAATTAATATAATATCACTAATACATCTGAAGATGTTGTAAAGTAAAATTACATGTTAAATTTTTGAGTGGAAAATGATTTTGAAATAATTTTTTATATTATTTTTTTGATAACCTAACATGTTATTTATATAATTAATTTTTTTTATTTATATGAATTTCGTGATATTAAATGCATCATTTATTTAATAATATTTAAAAATTATATAAAAAAATGATATAAAAAAATTGTTCCTATAATACTTCTTTTTTTAAATTAATCTTAGATTTACTATTATACTATCAAACTTTAATTAGTATATATAAGTTTTTAAACTCCATGATATGAATAATTTAATCCTTAATTCTTTAACTACATAAGAATGAAAAAGTTAAATTATCGTAAAAATATGACTTAGCATTTGGTTTTGGCTTTTGCAATGTTGTAATTGTATTATTTTTTATTTTATTTTGATTTCGTACTAAAATTTACTCTTTTTTTTTTACAGCTAGAAGTAACGTGGCGGCAGCCTAGATTTCGCCGCCATCTATAATTCGGTTTGTAGGTGCTCTGAGTCTTTTCTGTTCTTTCTGCAACTTGAGGTTTTTGCGTATCCTATACTCTCCTGTAGCACGTACCGTACACGCTCCATGTATTGACTTTCAAAAACATTTCTTTACCTTTTGTTGCTTTTTACCGAATGGTTTATTTATCGTTTAGAAGATGCTTATCCTTTTTCTGTAGAACGTTTTTGACGAAATAAAACTGAAATAAAACTGAAATTTGACTTAATTGATAAAAGGGGAAAAAAAAAAGGTGTTTTTTATGAGGTGACTTTGGGTTAGTTTTCATACTGCTTAAGGCGGCGAGAGAAAGTTGTGTTCGCCATTTTGAGGCGTTTGTGAGTTTAAGTTCCCACCTAATGGTCAATCGTCAGCACTTGCGTTAGAAATGTTGCCCCGCCGTGCCAGCTCAGTGTTGCCTTTTTTCCACCTCTAATTTTTATAAAAAAATATTTATTCAAATGAACTTATATATATTAATCTTGAATTTTAAAAAAAAATTAGTATTTTAATTTATATTTTAAAATTAAAAATTTAATTTAAAATTTAAGAATTTATCCTATTAAATATTATTATCTAGATTAAAAAATTGATTATATATCATAATATAATCATTTTTTAAATTTAAATATCAATATTTTATAAAATAAATTTTTAAACTTTGAATTAAGTTTTAATTAAATAAAATGATATAACTTAATATTATGATTCTAATTTATCTTGAGGGTGGGAACTAATATATGTTTTTCTTTATATATAAGTTAGTATATAATAGTTTTGATTTTTTTTAAAAATTAAAATTTTAATTTATATTTAAAAATTAAAATTTCAATTTAAAATTTAAAAATTTATTTTATTAAATAGTGATTTTAAGATTTAAAAATCGATTATATATTCTAATATAATTAGTTTTTAAATCTAAATATTAATATTTAATAAAATAAATTTTTAAATTTTAAATTGAGTTTTAATTAAATTAAACAACATATTTTAAGAACGAAATTTTAATTTATTTTAAGAGTTGGAATTGATATGTATTTATATATATAAATGTTTGTAAAATTATTTGAATATTTTTAATAGATTTCTTTTTTCTTTTTGTGTAAATTAATTAAAGATGATTAATTAATTTCATAAATATTACCGCAATTTTTTTTACCGTTCAACATAAAAATTTGTAACCTTATTTTTTTCAAAAAAAAAAAAAATCGAGTTCTCTTTAAAAAGGATACACCAAGTGTGAACGCAATAGCCGGCTCCTAACGTTTTTCCACTTAAAGCGAAGGCCTTTGGTTACCCGTTGAGTCTAAAATCATAGTCAAAACCCGTGTTGACTACGACCATACTCATAGTACAATATAAATTGAAATTATTAAATCTATGAATGCATGAGAAAAATGTTTTGTAGATTATGTTTTTAATTTTTTTTTGGAAAGGTATGTCTAAAATTTTATATTTTAATTAACAATTTTAAAAATCAATTGTTAAATTAAAATATTTATTCATATATATTAATTTTTATACTATTTTAATAAGCCAAACTATTTTATTGATTATAAAAAATTTAATACCATTAAATATATATCAATAAACATAGTTTCTTTGATAAGAGAATTATAAGTACTATTAGATCAATATGAAAATTAATATGCATAATATATATGAGTAGAACTTTTAATCTAATGATTAGATTTTAAAGTATTAATTAGAAAGTAAATTTTTAGATAAATTCTCAAAAAAATTTTAAAAAGACAACTTACCTTATACAATTCTTTTTTTTTTCTTTCATTTTTTTATATTGATTGCATGAGGGAAGACAACTTTTTTCTATTCTTTATCTTACTTTGTCCGTATACTATATAAATCGAATTTAAAATTTCTTATTTTTAAAAAAAAGATATTATTACTAAACTATTTAAATCATTGATTACCTTATACTATTCTAAAT